TTCAGAGTAGCAGCAGTGGAGAAGAAAAGAAGTGCTTAAATTCTAAATGTATTTTAAAGCTTCGACCTATGGTGAATGCTAACATTAAATATGAGATCAGAGAAACAGGAGGAAGGTAGTAATGGCTCTAAGAGTTTTAGCTTCAGCAACTGGAATGACAGACTTCCTACTGAGAAGGAGAAGATGGTGGGTTGTCAGTCTGGAAGGAAATATTTAGAGTTCAGTTTGGGCCACATTAGGGTTGAAACATGCAAATTTGATGCCAAGTAGGCAAATGGATATATGAGTTTGGAATTCGGGGCAGAGGTCCAGGTTGAAATACAAATTTAAGAGTCACCAGCATAGAATCATGAGACTGGAAGAGAACACAAAGTAAGGGATATAGAGAGAAAAGAGCTCTAAGGAACTGAGCCTTGGGGCACTCCACTGTTAAGTGTCACCTTCTCAGAAGGTGAGAAGAAATCAATAGAGGGACCATTAAGACAAGAAAACAACAAGATTCCTGGAAGCCAAGTGAAGAACAGGTTTCAAAGAAGAGAGCATAATCAAGTCTACCAAATGCAGCTGCTAAGTAAAATGAGGCCTGAAAACTGGTACTGGATAGAGCAGGAGAGGTAACTGTGACTTGACAGGAGCAGCTTAGGTGGCACAATGGGGTAGAGAGCTTAATTAGAGTAGATTTTAGAGAGAAAGGAGAAATGGGAGACTGAACTACAGAAAAACCTTTCTGGGAACTTTGCTATGAAAGGGAGCGGAGAAATAGGTCAACAACTGGAAGGAAGAGTAACTTAGACTGTTTAAGGGGTTTTCTTTTGTTTCATTTTGTTGTTTAGAGGGGAGAAATAATAGCATAGTAGCACAGACTCAGTAGAGGGGGTGCACATGGGAGGGCTGGCCCTTGAGAGCAGTGTGGATAGTTCATCTGGTAACAACAGAAAAGGCAGACAGTGTGAATACAGACTCTGGGAGGAAGATAACTATGGTAGGAGACTGTGGAGGTTCTCTTCTGACTGGCTGGTTCAGTTTCTTCAGTAAAATAGGAGCAAGGGCATCAGCTTAGAGCTAGGACCAGGAAAGGACATGTTATGGGTTTGAGGACAGAAAAGATATCAAGTGGGAGAGTTTGGAGCCAGGAAAGTAGGGAGTGGATGAGTTAAGGATGATTGCTGAGCAGCATTAGGCTTTACTTGAGTTTCATGGCCATAAATTTAACCTACAGCAAGAGTCCTCTTCCCTCAAAAAAGCTATTGTTCATTCTGTACCATCAATAAAGTTATTCAATGAAGGAAACTGTTACTAGGAGAATGTAACATCTAAATTTCTGTAAAGACTTCCAAAAATAGAAGCACTCTGCTCAATGCCTATGACAAACACGCTGGTAAAATCAGTTGACCAAAAGAAACAAGTTAAATGACACTTATTTCACAAAGAAAGTAACTCCAGAAGATAAGCTAGAGAAAAAAGAAGGTAATATAGTTATCGAGACTAAAATTCATACTCAATAGGGTGGGATACTTTCTTTCTGGCTGGCCTACAATGAACCCTGATTACTACCCTGAACATGCTACTCAAGGTAAACTTTATTTCATCCCTCCACATTCACTTCACAGAGATGCAAAATAGTAAATGGATTACAGTCTGAACTGCCATGAAGCTTAAAGGAATGGTCAGTCTACCTTACAGGTTAAGTTGCAAGACTCCAAGATAAGATTTTCATACTTTCCACACTGTAAGAATAAGGAATATTTGTTTTTCTACCCACAGATCTGAGTGACATGTCTTTTCTCTATCGTAAGTAGCCAAAGTATTACACTATCTTCAAATTTAAAAAAAACATAACTTAGGCCTCTGATCACATCACAATGAAAATTAATCCTCCTTCTAATAACTCATAAAAATTCTTAAAATTGTACTCTGATTATAATTGGTTTATAATTAACATTTTGGAAAAAATGTGACTCTACCATAGCCATCTTCAGCCAATAACCATAAATCAAAATACTCACAAAATGTTAATTGTAAACTTCCATTGTTTAAAATTAGTCTTATAGTAAAGAGTAAAAATTTTACTATTTCCCAGTCACCACCTTTTATATAATTTGAATTTTTTTTTTAAACCTAAATCCACTGTTCCACAAACAAGAGTCCAAAGGCAATGAAAATATACAGAACAAGAATCTAGTCAAAATATCCTTTCAATACCTTCTAGATGCTAGTGGAAGGAATCAAGAAAGGAAGAAAGGAGGAAAAAAAGGGAGGGTGGGAAAGAGTGGAGCCGATAGAAAAAATTTCAAAATACATTAATAAAGAAACATAAATCTCACATTCTAAAACAAAACAAAAGGAACTTATACTGTACTAAAAATGAGTCCACATATTATGCATTATGGAGTGACAGTATTCACTCTGAAACAAGAAAAAGAATGGATATGCCAAGATATCACTTATAATTATAACAGGGAATTGGTATTTGACACTTAGAAACCTGACTTCCTTAGTTTTCTGTTTATGCCCAGACTTCTACTACAAAAGTGAAAGAAGTCACTGGGCTAACCAGATGTTGCCATATCACCCCCATTACTCAGGTCAGTGGTGTGGAACAAAACAAAAAAAGGTTGTCAAAGCTGAGCAGAGGCTGTCCTTTCCCAGTCTTCTAAAATAATGCTACTGAGAGCAGTAACGTTTTTCAAAGACTTAATAAGCAATAATGCCTATAAGCTCTTGTCAGGTAATCTTTCTTTCACTGTCTCACACCATCAGTGTGAATGCAGAGAGGAGGAAAAAGAAATGTATCTCCCTTCCCCCACCTGCCACAAGGCAGCTAGAACCTTGGATGACACTTGCCTGTTTCCAACAGGGAAAGAGGTCCACCCACACAGGAGCAGCAGCAGGAGGCATAAACGAAAGGAACAGTGTGAAAAGAAATGCAGAACTGCTTCTATAATTTTGAAATTTATACTGTGGGGCAGCCCAGTGTCTCACAGGAAAACAATCACTTTTATTTTTCCCTCCTACTGCCACTCCGACCTTTCCTGGTTGGTGAGTCAGTAGGAGGCAAAAATGAAAGTGCTTATTTTTTTCCTCTTTGAAACAGAAGGTTGTTAAAAACTGTGAATCTCAAAATCTCAAAACATGAACTACCTAATTTTTAGAGGTGTTATTTTATTGTCTTTGCTGGAAATAATATAATATGAAACAATAATGTTTGCATATGTGTGTAAAATGAGTCCTAAGAGGTCTATATTTAATAGATATGTTTATTATAATCTTGATAATATAATTTATGACCATAACATAAATATATATGGGGACTTTAAAAAAAACTTCTTGAAATTAAAATATTGGCCTTACTTTAAGCTAAGGGGTCTTTTTACTCAATATAGAAAATTCAGACAGGTATAACAAAGAAAAGCAATGTAATAGTGCAATTAAGTAAAGGACTCATTTCATTGAGTCCCTGGTTGGTTTCAATTACATATTCTTATTGAGCCCTTGCTACATGTGAGAAACTAAAGTACCACAGGGCATCCAAGGTAAGTAAGACACAGTCCTTTCCCTCAAGGAGATTTTAATCTAATAAGAGAGATAAGAAAAATGCCCATATAAAAATGACACCGAAGTATCAGAAATACCAGAAGAGAGATGCAAAGAAGATACCACCACATTTCCAAGGAAAGATACTGCTTTCAGAGGATCAGACAAAGCTTTATGGTAGAGACGGCTTTGTTGATGGTTCTTAAAGGACGGGCAGGTTTTAGAAAATTGGAGGGGAAGATGGAGGGTACAAAATGAACAAAGTCACAGAAGCAGAAAAGATCTTTTTTTATAGATGGTTATTCTCTGAACAGTGCTTCTGCGAGAAGTCAACAGATGTACTAAAAATAAAAAAAGGATTCCATAGACAAATTAAGTTTGGAAAACACTAAAGCCTATACCACTCTTCAAAATTCATTCACAATGCATACTAGTGTAGGAAAGGCTCTGAGGAACTACTGCCACAAAGTTGCTGTTTTCCCCAAGTCTCTTAAACCTATTTGACTACAGAACTCTTGTGAAAGAACACTTATCAATTGCCCAAATGTTTTCAGAAATACTATCCAAACAAAACTGGGACAAGGCTAGCAGAGTATACGTGAGACATATTGTAGAATGCCTCAAACACCAAGCTGAGAAATATAGTCTTCAGGAACAACAGCAATAAAAATGAGGTATCGCCCTGACATGGGGTGGCGACTGTTATTTTAAACATGTCATTACACATTAGCTTTATGACAAGCATTCACACTGAATGCAGGATGCTAAATAATGAATATATGTACATTTTTTACTAAAAGATTTTTTCACCTCATTTTATGTTATTAAATACAAGAAACAAGCAAATATATCACAGGAGAAATACACTACAAGTGAGAGGGAGAGAAAAGTAATCATCATGGAAGGCAGCTGTGGGCAAGGCAAGATCAGCCCACTAAAGCAGGGGCAGGTACAAAATGTACTGGCACTCCCAAACTTAGGCGCAGTGTCATCTTTTTTTTTTTTTTTTTTTTTGTCTTCCTTCCCTAAACCTAATACTAATGTTCAGAGCTTACAGGTCATTCAAATAAAGTTAAAAGCTAAAGCCGCCTTTTTGTTTTCATGTTTGTCAACGGGAACTAAGCATTATCAAACAATATTTTAAAATAAATATTTCTATCGAAATGGCAAACTGCACCCCAAAACTATGTGCAATTGTACTGTATCAATTAAAAATAAATAATATATTACACCTAAATAATTATATCTAAAAAGTGTACTAATTACACCTAAAACAATTATACCTAAAAGCCATAAACAAAACTGAAAAACAAAGCAAAAAAAAAATGCTGATTAAAACTTGGAAACTCAAAATTAGTACTTTTGTGCTACTTTATTTCCTAAAGCAACTGTAAATGTACTACTTGCTTACACATATTTAACATAGATTATATATACTTCTGCCCACCTTAATTAGGATAAATTACCTGTGGTTGGAACTGAGGAATGGGCGGCCCTTGCATTCCTTGTGATTGCTCATCCATTGTCTGAAGCAACAGGAACTTTAGAACTCTGCAAAAATGTAAAGTTAAAATTTAAATAATGTAATCATTACCAATTCACATCATTTATCATACGCCTGACGCATGCATTCAAATACTAAATTTACCTGATGCTTCAAAAATTCACTGAGATACACCACACTCTTCTGCCATTTGCTAAATCCAAGCAATGTTAGCTCCCACAAATATTCAGTCTCAACCATTTCCACTTCTTCAAAAGCATTATTTGCTTAGAAAATCCCGTTTCCTGAGATGAAATTCTTTCTTCTCCATTCCGCCTTTTAAATCAAAGATACTTTCCTCTATCCAGCCACTATTAGAAGTATCAGAGTACGCTCCCTATAAAGTTCAATGTTTTACATCCCTAAAATGCACCTTATCCTAAAAATGTTAGTACTTTTATTCTTTCATCCAACTGTTTACTGTGATTTTTTTTAATTTAAACTTCAAAGGCCAGTCCTCATATGAGTGTCTCCTCTTTTATGCATACTTTGTAATTATAAAGCATTCATCCATTAATTCAGTAAACTAGGCTGAAGGTAATTACGTGCCAGGTATTGCACAAGACTCAAAAATTGAAATATTAATCACACACAGCCCTTACACTCCAGGAACTACATTTGCACCGATTCTACTCAATACTACGTGTTTCTAGGTTCTTTATAAATGTTACTTTATGACTAAAATCTGAGACTCAAAAAACTACGGTCTCTTTTAAATGGGATTAACTGATGGAACAACTAAAACACATCTTCACTTCATCATACTCTTTAAAAACCAATACAAATATTCTGGGCATGGTTCATTTGTATTACAAATTTCTTCTTCTACTCTGTGACTTGTCTTTTTAAAACCTTTCCAATGGTGTCTTTCCATGAACTAATGAATAGAAATTCATGGCTGGGCGCAGTCGCTCACGCCTGTCATCCCAGCATTTTGTGGGGCTGAGGCGGGTGGATCAGGAGGTCAGGAGATCAAGATCATCCTGTCTAACACCGTGAAACCCCGTCTCTACTAAAAATACAAAAAACTTAGCCAGGCGTGGTGGTGGGCACCTGTAGTCCCAGCTACTTGGGAGGCTGAGGCAGGAGAATGGTGTGAATCTGGGAGGGGGAGCTTGCAGTGAGCCGAGATGGTACCACTGTACTCCAGCCTGGGCTACAGAGCTAGACTCCGTCTCAAAAAAAAAAAAAAAAAAAGAAAGAAATTCATAATTTTAATGTGGTCTAAGTAATTAATCTTTTTCTTTATGATTAATGCTTTGTGTACTATTTATGAATTATTTTTCTACTCTAAGTTCTCATATTATTTTCTAATGTAAGGTTTATTTTTTTAACCTTTAATATTTAGATCTACAAACCATCTGGAATTAAGTTTTTTTAATGATATAAGTCAAAGTCAATCTTTGTTTTTCTTTACGGATATCCAACTGACCTCAAATGATATATTGAAAAGATTATCCTTTACCACACTGCACTGCTGCTATGTCATCTTTGTCATATACCAAATGATCATGTGTTTATATATATACACACACACATATATACACACACATATATGTATTTGCACTTTCTTTGCTGTTCCACTGGTCTATCTGCACTAACACCAATACTACACTATACAGTGTAGTACTGCCCTATAGTGTACATACTACACGTACTATTACTACTCTATATAAAACTACAGTATTAATTACTATAGTTTATTATAAAGTCTTGATATCTACTTAATTACATGTCTGATTTTAATACGAATTGTAAAATCAATCTGTTTGTTTCAATTTTCTAAAACACTGCTCAGATTTTGATTGGGATTACATCAACCTTAAAGATCAATTTGGAGAGAACTGACATGTTAATAACATGGGGTTTTCAAACTCATGAACAGAGAATATCTCATTTATTTTAAGTTTCTTTCAATATGGCTTCCAGTTTCATTATACTGGTCTTTCACATCTCTTTTCAGATTATTTACTGTTTTATATTTTTTGATGCTACTATAAATGGTGGAGTTTTTAAATTCAATTTTCTGATGGTTATTAATGTATAGGAATAAAACATTTTTGCATATTGCCCGTGTATCTTGCAAAATTCCTAAACTTGCATATTAGTCCAAGTAGCTTTTTCTGTAGTTTTTTGCCTTACTACAATAGATAGACCCTCCAGTACAATGAATAGAAGTAGAGAGCAGACATCCTTTCCTTGCTCTTAATCTTAGGAAAAAAGTATTAAATCTGTCACCAGTAAGTATTATGTTAGCTATACATTTTCTATAGATGCCCTGATTTATCAGGTTGATAATTCCCTTCTATTGTTTGCTGGAAGTTTTTACAAAGAATAGATGTTAGATTTTTATAAAAAATTTTGCGTCTATAGAAATTATTACATGTTTTTACTTTTTTAATCTGTTAAAATGTTGAATTATGTTGATTCAATTTTGAATATTAAACCAGTATTCATTTCTGGGATGAACCCCACTTGGTCATGATAAATAATCATGTTTATACAGTATGGGATTCAAGGAGGGGAGGAGGATGAAGGATAATTCTAAAAGTGAATCCAAATACCTTTTAGTATGAAATCCAATATTAAAATCAGCATTTCATACCTAGTGTCCCACAGACAGTTTCACAAGATATTCCATGAAAAAAAAGAAAAGAGTTTCTTGGTCAAAGACCCCTATGAAATACTATTTTTTATATGAATCTCTCTTGAAGAGTCATAGTGAATAGCATAGCAAAGGATCCAAGCAGGTCTGAAATTAGTAAAAGTTTTTTAACTTTCTTCTTTGCTTTGTTTTCTTTGTGTAACATTTTAAAATATCCCTCAGTCTGACTGATCCAAAGAAGACATTTTGAGAAACTCTGTGCTAGGTTATAATAAAGTGGGTTTGCTAGAGCTACTGATAAGTGACAATATCTAAGTAAATAAAATCATGAAAAAAGAAATACAAAACTCAAGGAAACAAAGTGTTTTACTCTAGAAGTCTACATAAAGAACTCACTTCTACGGTATCCTCATAAAGAAGGTCAAGGAGCCTCTGCACAGAAATAAAATTCTCAATAAATTTCTCATATTGAATTTAAACTTAAAAAGAGTGAAAAAAACCACAAACTGTGTTTTTCCTCTGCTCTCACACCACAACAATCACAATAAGACTTCTGTGACCAAATGTGTAGAGGTTTCTCTCCACACATCAAGCAAATAATCAGTTCTGCAGTGGACATTAGCTGGGTTTCTTCCAATTCAATTCCAACACTATCTTCCTGGAGATAGCACCAGATCCCACAAGCTAAGGGCTCAGTCCCACAAGACCACCGCCCCCTTTCCATCAGTTCTGGAACTTCTGACCAACCCACTTCAAGCTGGGGTTCCCATGACCCCCTCTTTGGGTTTATTTGCCAGAGCGGCTCACAGACCTCCGGAAGGGAAATACGTTTACCGGTCTATTATAAAGAATATTACAAAGCATACGGATGGAGAGATGCATGGGCAAGTATGGGGGAAGGGGTGCAGAGCTTCCATGCTCTCTGCAGACACAACACACTCCAGGAACCTCCAATGTGTTCAGTTATCCGGAAGCGCCCTGAACCCGGTCGCCTGGGCCTTTTGTGGAGATTTCATTGGCTAGGCATGATTGACAAACATACAGAAATGTGACTAGACAAAAAAGCTATGATCAAATACTAACAGACTGAGTGGGGAAACCCAGCGAGGCCTGTCTGTTCAGCTTCTTCTTGGCCTCTTTGTGCAGCATTCCTCCTCCAGAGTATGGGACAGAACCCCTTCTGAAATGAAGGTGTTAAGACCTACAATCAGACAGAGCAGGTCAGAAAATTTCTTTATGGCTGTCTCCAAGACAGAAAGGTGGGGGAAGACCCCTTCCTTCAGGAGAGAAAGAAGCAGGTGAGAGGGCAGAAGAAGGTCACAGAGAGAGATTGTTTTCTGAGGCCTGCTTCTGAGCCCTGAGGCACCCCAATATTAGAACAAAAGGCTGTAACAGCATTATGGGAGTTATGATGCAGGAACTGTGGATGAAAACATATACCTATTACAGTAAGTACAATGAATAAAAATTATTTGCATAATACATCTAACATAATTCCATGTGACGCAATCTTGCTCTGCCGCCCAGGCTGGAGTGCAGTGGCGTGATCGCAGCTCACTGAAACCTCTGCCTCCTCGGTTCAAGTGATTCTCCTGCCTCAACCTCTTAAGTAGCTAGGATTACAGGCGTGTGCCACCACACCCAGCTAAATTTTGTATTTTTAGTAGAGATAGGGTTTTACCATGTTGGTCAGGCTGGTCTGGAACTCCTGACCTCAGGTGATCCACCCGCCTTGGCCTCCCAAAGTGCGGGGATTACAGGGGTGAGCCCCCACACCCAGCCTTCAGTGGGTTCTTAATGTTATTATAGAATACGTCAATGTTTACATACTGATTTAACACCATTACTTATGTCCTCAGAAGACCAAATAGTTTATCTTGTACCACTAATCCTTTCATAAATGGAAAGAAAAATATACTTTAATATATAACATATTTTAATATGCATTCAATCTTCCAGATTGTAAGTTCTATGTTTCAGGGACACATTTGTGTCATCCACAGCTGTATCACCAGTGCTTACATCAATACCTGGTACAAAATAGGTGGTTGAAGGAATATTTATTTAATGAATGAATACATGCATGTCAAGAAAAATCAAGTAATTATTGCTACAAATTAAGTATAAAATCAATGACCAAAAAACTATCATCACATTTAACAAATCTGGCAACCAATCTTCAAACAAACAAACAAAACACTCCCCAAAGAAGGTGCTGCCTGAATTGGGTTTTAAATAATGAATAGGAAAAGATGAGCTAGGGAAGACAGGAATTCTGAGAAGAGGAAAGAACACATCAAAACAGTAAAAAGTATAGTACACACCAATTTAAAAGTAATTTCAAATTAAAGTTGGTGAGTTGTGGGAGACAGTGGGTGGGGAATTAGTAGCAAAAGATTAATC